AGCCCACTGCTTGTGCAGCGATCGTGCTCCCCTTGGAGAGCAGGGAGCTCAAAGCCAGATGCCTCCTGGGGACCCCAGTGCCGTGAATGCTCCCCCTGGGCTCAGAGCTGACGTGCAAGGCCTCATCCCCACGTGTCGGCCTTGCAGGACTTCCTGTGGAACACTCCCTCCACACTCCAGTCTGATGCCCTGTATGAGAGGTGGATGCTGGCTCTGGAGAAGGCAAGCAAGGAGCAGCAGACTGAAGAGCTGAAGGATCAAGTGTTGTAGGCAGTGCCCGGCATTCGCGAGCGTCTGGGAGAGCTCGGGATCTTCTCTGGCAATGGGCAGGCTCCTGCAAAGACCTGTTGTTTCTGTCAGCATGTTCTAGTGCTGATACTACACAATACAGCCCCAGGCTTTCATGGGCCTTCACAAAGCCTGCCAGTGTGTCTCCTGACAAGCTGCCTTTTCCTCACACTGTCCACATCCTGAAAAGCAGGCATCATGCGAAGACGTCTGCCTTTTAGCCAAGATCTTGCCCTTCCACATCTTGCATTTAAGCAGCTGCTCAGCTGCTGTTGGAACTTTCTCCATGGGACATGTGTAAAGCAGGGACAGAAAGCAGGGGCCTTGTTCTCTGTGGAGGACACACCATTTTTGGCAGTTTGCTTTAAACTTCTTGCTCACAACAACAGGCATTGGCCACTGCCTCCTGAAGTCAGTGTGACTTGTGTTTGTGTTCCTGTAGGGTGGCTGACCAACCCCCCTGGGCAAAGTGCCCCCTGCTCAACACCTTGCTTGCCATGCTCCACCACCTCAGCCAAAGCTCAGCCACCAACAAAAGGCCTCCTGGAATCTTGCCCTCTGCACTGCCATGGACAGCATGTTGCCACTGCAGCTGCAGGCAGAGATGAACCACAAGGTGTGTGGAAGTTGCTAGGTAGCTTCCTGCGTTGGACCACAGCTGAGCCAGGCCTACCCGTTCCACGGCCATTGCAAAAGTGAACTGCAACAGCAGCACATGGGAGCGTGGCGGGTGCCCCTCCACTGGGCAATCTGCAAGCTGACAGACAGAGCTCTCTACTGAGGCTGCAGCTGAAGAGCTACAGCTCTGGGGACAGAAACATCAGTGGGGAGCAGCAAACACTGCTGATGCCTTCTCAGCCCTTTGCCTGACATCCCTGGTTTCTGCGTGCAGGTGGCAGTGGTGGTGGAGGTTCTGACTGACAACTACACAGCAATATTCGGTGAGGATGTGGCCGTTCCTGCCAGCCCCTCTGCTGAGGAGTCCTCCAGAGACACGGCAGCTCTGCAGGTGTTTGTGCAGAGGCTTCAGTGGCTCCTGGTAGTGCTTTAGTCTGGCAGCACTCCCCAGATGTGGCTCTCTCCACACAAGGCCTCCCTGATGTGAAAGCCTGGTAGAGCTCAGCTTCTTGCAGCGTTGCTCACTATGGGCTAGAACAGGCAAGAGGTGAGGGTGAAGGAAAAGTCCAATGTAAGGAGAGATTGAAAGCCAAACATCTGAGAGGAGAGTAAGGAATCCTAAAGAAAAGCAAGGGAAGAAAACCACTAGGAAAGAAAAGATGAAAGAGAAATGCAAAGAAAATGCAAAAGAAGTGGAAAATAAGGAAAAGGAAAGAAGAAGAAAGGAAAAAGGAAAAGAAAGAAAAAGGAAACGTGGAAAGGGAAGAAGAAAGTAAAAACTGGAGGCATAAAGGAAAGAAAAAGGAAACAAAGGCAAGGGAAAGCAAATGAGCAAGCAAGCCAGTGAGCAAGCAAGCAAGCAAGAGGAAAGCAACCAGGAGATAGGATAGCAAGAAAGAGGAAACAATAATGGAAATCAAAATGCACGGAAAAAAAAAAGAGGAAAGAAAAAATGGCAAGCAAAAAGGAAAATGAAAAAGAGATAATTAAGGAAGGAAATAAGGAAGGCGGAAGGAAAGAAAAAAAACCCAATAGCAAACAGCAAAAAGAAGCATCTGGGAATGAAAAGCAAGGAAAGAAGTGAAACAAGAGAGAAAAGCAAGAAAAAAGAAAAGGTAGGAAAATGGGAAAGAAAGAAAGAAGCAAAAAAAATGGAAAAAGACAGAAAAGAAACAGGACTAGAAAAGTAAGGAAATAAAACCTGGAAAGGACAGCAAGGAAGAAACAAGCAAGGAGAAAAGGAAAGGGAAAAAAGTAGAAAGAAGGTGGCCGTGGGCATGCATCAGCGAAACTGAGCATGTTGTGAGTGGGCAAATTCATACGGATCAGTAAAGCTGGCTTCACTCTAACATTTGATCAGATGGACCTGTTACAAGTTTGTCTTTGTGACTAAAAATAAAGACGGTGAGTTACGCCTTTTCTTGGCAAATGTGATTGCATTATTTTCATTAATATTTTCTGATCATTTTTGCAGCAAAGGACCATGCAAATGTCTGTGAAGGAGTGCTTCCATGTCTGAAAAGGTCATGGACTTCAAAAAAATACTCAGTACTTTTTTCTTTTATTCCACTACATTTTTTTTTCATCCTGATAGACCAGATCTAAGCTGTCAGGATGTTGCCTTAATAACATTTTCTTAGGAAATTAATTAATTTTCATCTCATTCCTATGATCCCAGGATATACCCAGTTGAGAGACTCCCATTTGGCCAGGTGAATCCTGCTCATTATGTCTGGAGTAACAGTTAAAGCTGGAAGTGAACTTGCAAATAACTGTATTTATTGAGTGAGATGACTTTGAGGGCTAGGGAAAAATCCTTTCCCTCTGCACTGCCATGGACAGTTAAAGCTGGAAGAGAACTTGCAAATAACTGTATTGAGAGATGACTTTGAGGGCTAGGGAAAAATGTCTTAATTGTAACGCAGACCAGTTTTTCATGAAACTCCACCCTGATAGCTCAGGGCAAGTTTCACTCAGTGGCACTCCCTCCATCAGCACAAAATATTCTGATGGATTCCATCATCAGAACCAGCATCTGAAGTGTTATTACTGAGCACTTCTGTGAGAGCTTTATATCCTATGTTCCTTTTAATACTTTCAAGCAAGCACAAATTCTTCAGCTTTACATTTAAGCAAGGTATCCATCCACTTAATAGCAAAGAATGAACTTCCATCTACCTATTTTTAGTATTCATTATAATTCTTGTCCGTTCACTGTGAGAAATAAAGCACATTTTTGCTTCTTTCTTAGTTCAATAGGTTGCTCAATCACAGTTTCTTCTAGGACCTTATCCAAAGCTTATTGAGATTAATTAAAGATTTACGCATCACCTAAATGAGCTTTGTTGCAGGCCTTGGGCTCAGCGATGCATAAGGCTATTGGCTAAACTTTTGAAACGACAGAATATTGGCTGAGACTGACTACTGGGGTCTTCTAGTTCAAATATCTGCATAGCCTAGCTCTTCAGATGTCCCTGAATGTGACTCATTTCATGGAAACGTTTGCACCAATGCTTCGTTTGCACCAGAGTGCAAATGAATACTTCTGAATCCAGCGGAATGCAGCTCAGTTCACCTTCTCATGCTAAAAGCAGGTCAAGGCAGTGACCGTTCAAGTCATCACTGAGGTAATTGTTGAGATTTCCCCCAATGTTTTAATTACTGTAGTGATTAGTTTTTCGCAATTGCGACACAGTATTCTCTTCATGTGATACTAGAGAAAAGCAAGCCTTGCTGTGCATGTATTAATTTCCTTCCAGTTTTCACACAATTAGTAGTGTTTGCCAGGTCCCAGGATCCTTCTTATTTACCAATGCAAAAGTTGTTTTTCAGACTCATTAAGGAACGATTCCTGTTTTCTGTATTTATATAAACACATTTTCATTTTGAATACTCCCAGGCTGCAACTCAAATGTGTGATTTTAGCCCCATTGATATCAATATATCTATATATCTATAGCCTATATATACACACATACACACATATGGTGTGTAGTGTGGTAGTTTTAAACTATGTAGCAAGGATACAGACAAAGGTATAGTTGTTAACTGTTGGAGAACTTAGCCGGTATTGTAGATGAGTTTTTCAACATTTACAAGTTATGTTTTTAAGGGAATGTGAGGAATTAGCAAAATTAGGTTCCTAGGGAGCAGTAAAGGTGTTAAAAGTGGATTTTTTATTATGGTAACATATCACAGAATGGTGTAAAACTAGAGTCTGGCACCGCTTGCTTAACTCCCAAATGTGAACTTGAACAGAGAGGGGTTTTTCAGCAGGCTTTCCTGGTTGGCATGCTGAACACAACGGCAACCTGTGTTACCTCCCATATTGCGTCTCCAGAGTATCTACTTCACTGGCTTGCAGCAGTTGAAAATTATTAAATCCTTTCATGCTAGGTTATACACTTTCAAAATTATTCCTAATATGCAGAAAAGTGGGCCAAAACAAATTTTCTTTACATGGTGATCTCAGTAAGTTGCTGTGCAGCTCCCTGCTTCCAGTTCCGTGCACAAATTAATCTCTCAGGTGTTTGTCAGAGCCAGAATTTAAAACCTCCTTAAGTCTGAGGCATTGCTAAATGGTCTTTTCAACAGCCCTCAAAATGATGTGTATCCCAGCTAAGATCTTTTGCTTAGTGGAACATAGATCTGCTAGCAGTTTAGTAACGTAACTGGTTTAATCTGCTTGTTCTGTAGGGGCAGCTTTTCTCAGCTGAAGATGTTTTGTACAGTGTAACAGAAGCTGGTGTATGTTCAAAAACTTGTCATGTCTGGGCAGCCCATAGATTTAGTTTGACCCATTTAGCACAAACTAAAAACTACTGCTTGTTTTGCATTGAGTTACCTAGGTCAAACAAAATAACAGCATCTACCTGCATAATGAAATCCCAGCGTGGACAGCTGTACACGGAAACACCGATAGAGTGCAGGGGAACGTAGCAGCATCCACTGAAATCAGCATTCACGTACCACCGTGTACAGTATGCTAGCTCAGCATTTCTGGGGAGGCCAACTTCAAGCATTAGATGGAATTTCTGGGGCTTCTGCAGGGTTGCAAAGGCTCCGGTCAGTGAAACGCTGTTGGATGTGCCTACCCTGCAGAGCTCCACAGTATATGCTAGGGGAGAGGAATCTCACCCAGTCTCCTTTACTGCCCTTTTTGGAGCCCGAGACTCTGCAGACACACACGTAACCTAGTTTTGGATACATGGGGCATGACGAGCCAGAGTTATGTTACCAACTGGCTCACGGTGAAGCAGCTATGCAACTCCAGGTGCTCCTGCCAGCGCTGCTGTCCCCGTTGGCCTGGGCGCTGTGCCCCGCGCCAGCGCATCCCGGACGCAGCCGCCCCCGCGCGAGGCCGGGCCTTCAGCCGGCGCCTACCAAGAGCAGACGCGTAGTGCCACCGCCCCAGCTGCTCCCGCCGCTACTCGGAGCGCGCAGCGCACGGAGCGCCATGGAGCGAGGCCGCAGCGCCCTCGGCTGCCTCCTCATCTTCATCATCTTCATCCCCATCCTCCTCCTCGGCAGCTCCGCAGCAGCCAGGTACGTGTCACTGGGCTCAAAACGCAGGAAGGGGAGCGCAAACAAACTGTGGTGTCTGCATTGTATGTTATTCCTTGTGCACTGCCCCTTTTCCTTCTGTTTGGATTTTCCAGTCCTACGTTTCTGGTGACGGTTCCCTGGAACATCAGGCCCGGGGCAAATGTGATCGTTGGGGTAGTGCTGCTGCCGGACAGTCCAGCTCAAGTCACTGTAAGGGGAGAAGTGATCAAAGATAACAAGACCCTTTTGAGCAGGGAAATGGTCTTTGAGAAAGGTAAGACAACTGCATTGCCCTGGAAAGATTTCAGTTTTCCTCCTCCCGCAAAAGTTTCCTTGCTCCCAAAATACCATTGCTACTAACCCCTATTAAAATAGAAACCTGGCTTTAACAAATGAGGATCAAGTCTGGAAGAATAACACTAGATTCTGCTTGTTCCGTGGGTGGACTATTGCACTGGATAGCGAGCGCCTTGCCTATGGGTGTTGATAACTCATTGCAAACTCTGAAAATGATCCAGCGTTATTGAAGTGTGATGTGATACGGTAATTCTGAGGAGCCAAAAAGTATTCTGGACATCAGAGTGGGGCCACTGAGGAAGAAGCAAACTGTCACTTCCAGTAGGGTTGTTGTTAAGATTTAGGGTCTAAGCAAGTGAGAAAATGCTGAAAGAACAAGTTACTAGAGCATTTGGTACTGGCTGTTGCTTATACCCTGAGAAATGCAGTACCTGAGGCCAGAAGAAAGCGAAACTCACTATGAAACACTGGTGCTTGTAAGTTCCGTATATGCAGACAAAGCAGAAACTTTTAAGAATCAGAAACTGATTCCTGAGACCGTTTGGGGATTGAAACTGTAGATGTAGCAGCCTGATTAATCTATGCCCATTGAAGACTGGTAGGGAACACTGTGGCAAGTCTGAGTAGCTGGAAAACTGAGATATCCTGATCGCTGCCCCTTATCATGAAGGCCAGCGGAGAGCAGAAGTGTCGACACATAGTCTCTGTCCCACTATGAATTGCCCTTGAGTGAAATAAAATGTTTTGCATGAATAATAATGTTTTGCAGCTTCCAGGCTGCATTTGGCTGCCAGGCAGGTATGAGGCAACATAAATGAGACTCAGACTTTTGTGTTTGAAGTAGAGAATCTTGCTGGCAACAATGTGAGACCTTAGAAAAATCTATCTTACTAAACTGAGTTTCTTCCTCATTGCTGTTGATCGATATTTCTATTAACGAGCTATAGCTGATACAAATGCCCTATTTGGAAGAATCACACCTTCATTTCAGTCTTTAGGAAGCCCACTTTTCTCCACTATCTGCATAGGAGACTTAGGCTTTGAGTCTGAGGGAGTACCTTTGACCCCATGTCAGGACCCCATCATACAAAAATTCATGTCTGATATACACTCTTTTGGCATTTCAACTTTTCTGAAAAAGTTTTTTTCTTTCCGCCATACTCTTTACATCAAGATTTTACATCAAGTTGGTTATTATTCTTCCAGTCTATTTCTATATCGGATCAGGTATGTGTTCTCCTGCAGTTAGTGTCAAAGAATAAAGCTGAAATATATTTCCTGTTGTGCTCTGGCTAATTTAAACAAAAATGTCTAAGTACCTATTTAAATTTAAAATCAAATTTAGACTGTTCATCTTACAGCATCCAATTCCAATACCAACCATTGTGGTGATATAAGCCTGAGGTGTTAGGAGGACTGATTTGCTAGCACCAAAAATCTGTATGCAAGTAAAATAGACTAGTTCTCATGTGTAAGGTCCTTGATCCCCTATTTTCATGACATACTGCATCTCACATTTTGATTTCACTTATTGAAAAGTGCAGGCCAAGCCTATTGGGATAGACATAGTGAAAGATTCTGTAGTGGAGAATGAACATTTTTCTTTTGTGGAGAAAACAACTCTCATGTATTGTGCTGGTAGCACTGAACTTGTCTCAAAGATGAACTATTGCACAGATACTTCTAATCATTTTCAGTGTCAGTACTAGGACAAATGCTGCTTTTAAGCAAACAGATGAAAGCTGTGCTCATGCTACAGTCCTGATGTAGACCCTCTGTCTAGGTGATAGAAACAGACTGGAGAAGGTTCTTCACATGGCTTCTCCCCATCTGCAGAATCATTTTCGTACTCTTCAGCCAGAAGTTGAGCCTAGTGCAAAATTGTGATATAGTCCATCATTGATTCTAGATCTCTTGGTCATTAGATGTAAGGAAAATGACTCCTGTTGATTTAAGTTGTCTATATCTCAGTTTCTTGACAATGATGTGTGGGACTCTTAGGAAGTAAAAAAGGATTTGTGCCCATCCAACTGATTGTATAGACACCAAAAGGCCTTTGTGATCAGCTGCTTATGAAATTTCCAAGCCAGGGCAGTTTGCTTTCCATCATCATTTTATTTTAGAATGTAACTCGTCTTCTGTTCAGTTATATTAACTGAATCCCTTTTCTGCCTATGTTTTGGAAAAAAAATCATTATTGCTTTAAAAATAAAAAGCTGTCTTTTCTTTTCTAACTAGTCTGGGTTTTATATCCTCCTTCTATTTTTCGTATTATGAAGTCTTGGGAGCTCCAGCCTGTTTGTTGTTGCCCTTTTCAACAGTAAAAAGCAAATAAGCAACTAGTAATTTCAAGCAGGTGAAAGTAGGAAGAGATGGATGCCTGTACAGCTTATAGAATGATGCTTGACACTAGGAAGAGCTAAAGTCAGAGAGAGTCATTGGTGACCAGGAACAGGCATAGACACTGTACCAGGGGGATGTGAAAGAGGGGAACTGCTATAACACATTGCTTAAATTGACTTAATCTTAAATCTTCAATTTACCTTTTATAAACACTTTAATCGTGAATTTTACATGTTAAAAACACTAAAATAATTCAGTGATAAGTGAAACACTAAAATAATTCAGTACTGAATATGCAGTGTATTTCCTCTTGTAAAAATGTTAAAATTTAGTGTGTGACCATCCACTTTTTAGAGGCAAGCAAACTAATTTGGTAGTCATCACTTTCTGTGAGCAAATATGCAGGCAAAAGTGGTAAGGACCAGGAGCAAGGGAACTGCTCTGTACCTGGGCATGTAGAGTGAAGGAATATATCCTAGAAAGCTACATGAATGGATCAGTTATGAAGAGTTACTTAGGCAGAAAACAATTTGATAGACTAAGGTTTTACCCTTTTACCTGTTTATCATATTTTTCTTCTTCTATATAAAAAATATTGCAATAGTAATATTGTTGTAGCTATGATAGTCTAAAGATTTAAATGAAGCAAGGTTTAGGGAGGTTTTACTAGGTCAGCTGTTGCTAGGCCCACTGTTGCAGTTGTAGGAAAAAAGCCAAAGGCTTCTTGAGGTGCACAAACTCCTCTTTGAATCATGTCCTCGGAACATGGAGTGGAGCCCAGGAGCTGTTGCTTTATGGGCCTATGGGCCTTTGGGCCCATTAGGTTACAAAGAGTGACTGGTACACTGCTGTTGATGTTCCTGGAGGACACAGGATTGTAAGTGTTATTGCCACAAGTCTGTGCAAATCAAGAATTACAGAAGGCAGGGTGTAACTGAAGAAAGTGTACTGGCCATGCTGAATATCCAGAGAGCTGGAGCTGCTTGCCTGCCTTGCCTAGGGTGTGACAGGCCTTGGCTGCATTGCTTAAGCTGGCTCATTTTTTTCTGTATTTTTCCTTGCGTTGTGACAGCAAAAACATGCAGTTGCCTTGGGAAATTGCTCTGATGGAAAAAAATCACATTTGTATTTTGATAAGGTGCTTTTTTGGCAGCCAAGTTTCCTGACACGGTGTGCAAACATTTGTTATGCTACAACTGAGATGGTGCACAGTTGGGGATTGGATGCTGAGGGTGGAAGACAGGCAAAATACACCTTATTTATTAATGCTGTTTAATCTTGCAGGCTCAGACCAGTAGTGCACATAGGCATGAGAATTACTGCATGCCTGTTGAACAAAGTGCATCTGCAATTGCTTAAGTTTAGTGTGTGCTCTGTTTCTTTGGCAGCATGACACATGTGGGTGTCTTTAAATTTGGGAGTTAGCTCCATAAAGAACCTTATTCAATTAGAGGTGCAGCTGTTTTTTTCCTTATATAACATAACTCTTGCTTTATACAAGAAACATTTGCCTTCTGGTGGTTGATAGTGGTTGATAAAACATTCACCTTTTAAAAATAGCTATACGTGGAGTTTGGAGTTCTCAGTGATTCTGGGGAAAACGTGAGAAAAAAGATGGTAGCAGTGTAGCATGGTCTACATACTTCTCTTGCTTTTTGTGTGACAGAGGGAAGATAAACATATATTTTTAGAAGTTGCTGGTCTTTATTCTCTGGAGCAAGTGAGGATAAAAGTGTGTGTGTGTGTGTGTGTGTGCATGCACATTTAAACAAGTGCTGATATTCTGACCTTGGATTAACGTATCAGAATCCAAAGGCACTGTAGCAAGAGAAACCGTGTAATATCAATGTTTTGGTACAGAAATTAAGCTAATGAGATTAACTGTCGTGCAGACAGACCCACTGAACTTCTGAAAGCAAGATACTGCTGCTACAGGTAAACTGTGTCAGCAATCACTACAAAGAAATGCCAGTGCATCACCAGGACAGGACAGTTTACATTATTTGCAGCAGACTCAAGGGTAA